TGTGTGTGTGTGTGTGTGTGTGTGTACCCCCACCTTTCTTCCCAAGGGGGACCATAAGCAGCTTTCTCTTCTCCATTTTATTCTCACAGCAATCCTATGAGCTAAATTATGCTGAGTTGTCTATCTACAGATTTGGTCCCATTGAGAATTAGGTATATTTATGATAATGTTAATATAAATCAATGCAATTTAAAAGTGCTTAAATTGAGGCTAGATTGTGCCAAGGTCTTCAGTATCATAACTCCCAGTGCCAGTCATCAGTTCAGTAGGGGTATGCAGAGACATCTTCATATGCAGTCTGGTGCATACCAAGAATTGCTACGTATGAAGATCTGAAGATAGATGTCCACAGCTACGGTAACTCTGAAGTACATTTGTGGCAATCTTTCTCTAAAAAACTGTTCTACTTCAAAGGGTATTCAAAGCTGTTTAGAAATTTTTGCTATTGTATACACCATGGCTTTTCTAACAGTGTTGAAAACCAAATTTGGCTGAGAGTTTGCAGAATATAAATGTTTAAAATAAACAAAATAATAAATAAAGATTGTGATATGTTCCCAGAGTTCTAACATGCATTTTATTTTTAGGCAGAAAACAGATGGGGCAATACCATTTCTTTATAATATTAACAGCACCTTCATTTTACATAGTGCTTTACAGTATAACATAAGCAAAAAGACAAGTTCTCAATATCAAAGAGGCAAAAACAGAAAGATGGGGGGGAAGGGAGAGACAAGGGTAATAGGAAAAATAAATACAAATTTCACTGTATGTACTTAAAGGCTCGGGCTCAAGACACACATTACATGATATCCTGTGCTTTCCCCCACTCACTGTCTTCACCTGTGGGAGGAAAAGGAATGATCACAGAATGATTTATTTTGCTTTGCTCTAAATGGAGGAAAAAATGGAATGCCATGCAATGTGTAGTTTGATTCTTAATTTCTGTAGTGGTTGAGACTAATGGTGCAATCACAAGCAGAGTTACACCCTTTCTAAGTCCATTGAAATAGATGGCCGGAGTTACACCCTTCTAAGTCCATTGAAATAGATGGCCTTAGAATTCAAGGTGGTAACATTTTAAAAGAATTGCACTGTGAATTCATGAGCAGATTACCCTCAACCAGTCAAAAGATTCCACATATTGAACACACATCAAGGTATTTTTTCTGCATTTCTTTTAAAACACATAAGCTATTTTTTATTGCTACACCTGATGGTTCTTCAGCCCATAAATTCACTGAAGAAGGGTATCTAGATTACCAGAGGGGTTAGTCTGTCGTAAGAAAACAGAACATAAGTCTGGGGGGATCTTAAAGACTAACATTTATTCCCACATGACCTACTTAAACAAAGATACTTCACTTTACTTACCAAGATAAGTCTTTCAAATGAAGAAAGATTCTCCCAAGGAAAAATTAAAGGTACACCATCCTGATCTTTTGGAACACCAAACTGCAACCCTGTAATTTAAATATAACACACTACTTGAACATCTGAATATACAATAATAAATGTTGAAATAAGTTTCTAATTTTTACAGCACATTTCTATATTATAGGGATATATTTCTGATGACAGTTGTTTTTGTATGGCCTATAACAGAAATAAGAATAATTTTACTGCTATTAAATGCAAAGCATTAATATACATGGAGAGCTGGTGCAGACTTACCCTGAGTAAATAATTGCTCACATGAGTGATCTGTTCCTGCGAGCACTATCATTTTGGAAGAACTGTTCAGGCTTTTTTTCAGTGGTTATTTGCAATATTTATTTATATTTATTTATTTATTATCAATAGTGAAGCATACTAACCTGTGGATTCCCCCTCCCATGGAAATAGCCATAGCAACCCAATGGACCTTATATGTGGGAATAATAAAATGTACTCTATACTCTCTTGGCTGAGGGTGATTGAGTTCTGGGGGCATTTCAACCCTGACTTCTGAGCACACAATGACACTTTCACTCTTGGCTAATTATTTTAGTAGCCTTTCCCATTATGATCTGTACTCATCTATTGGTAAAGAACAAATTTCAAACATCTGGTAGCAGAAGATATGGTGGGGGTGATTTTGCCTGGTTCTTCCTCACTGCAGCACCAGCTTTTCTGGTGTTAAAAGGACCTGTTTGGAGGAAAGTGGGAAAGATCCAACCCCATGTATGCTGGTAAATACATAAAAAGTCTACAGATGCATATCAGCCACTCTGGAGATTCTTATGAAAGGTGAGCTAAACTATTTCAATAAATAAATAAAGTGAATATTTATTGTATGAAAAATATATGCACTGGATATAACAGTGGGGTATGTATGCATGCAGTGACTGAATATGTTTCATATGGAATAAGTGGATGGGTGATGTGAAAAGAGTATACACTAAAAGATTAAACTGTTTAAAATTGGTTTAATAGGGGGAGATTACCTCAACATATGAGCCAGTGTTTAAAATTGTATATATTCAGTTGCATACAGAATAGGCACTCGGGTGAAGCTTATGTTTTTATTTATGTAATTAATTTGATTTTTAAACTGCCCTTCCCTGTGGAACAGGGCACAGGGTGATGCACATCAATAGAAAAACATATACTTAGGTCCCGAGCACACGGGCAGGAAACTGCGGGGGGGAAACGTGGCTGTTAGCCCCGGGGCTAAAAACCATGCGGTTGCTCGAGCAGACCTACCTATCGAGGTCCTGTGGAGGTTCCGTGGTAGGGGGGAGGTGCCGATCACTCCACAGTCCTGCGGCGCGGCAAAGAAGCGGGGCGCAGGGCAAACGGGTTGGTTGTTTTTTCTTTAAAACGCAATTGTGCGCATGCTCCCTTGGGTGCGTATGTGCATCCATGGAGACTTTGAAAAAAAAAAACATTTTCCGAGGGGACATGGGCGGGTGCCGGAACTACCTCTGGAAACGCGATCAGACGCCTGCCCTTGCCCCGCGGTTTCAGGAAACTAGTACCTCCGAGGTACTAGTTTTTTACTGCGCGTCTTCGGCGGGAAGCCTCGGTTGCGCCACGGAAGCCCAACGCTTCCCAGATGTGCCGGTGAGATCGCGCCTGGAAACTCCGCCTATCTTCTGTCCCTCTAGCGTGGCTAATGCTCCGTGTGACTGGGGCCTTATATACTTATGTGTGTATACACATACACACACAATATTTAAAATCCCTACCATTACAGCAATAAATAACCTATAATCAATAAGATGGTAATGAAACTGCTAAAAATATGCCAGGAGAAACAGGAGTGCCAGTCAGATGGTCGCTGCCATCAACCAAATGCCTGGCAGAACATCTCCGCCTTGCATGCCTTGTGGAATTGCATTAAGTCCCAGAGATCACAGATGTTATTCAGCAGAGCATTCCACCAGGCTAGGGCCAGGGCTGAAAACACCCTGGCCCTGGTCGAGGACAGCTGGATGTCACTCAGGCCGGGGACCACCAGCAAGTTCTTATCAATTGAGTGTAATGCTCTTCGGGGGGTATACCAGGAGAGGCGGTCCCAAAGATATGTGGGTCCCTGACCATTAAGGGCCTTAAAGGTTAATGCAAAACCTTGAATTAGATATGGTACTCCCCCAGAACCCGAATATGTGCCATATGTAGAGTTCCTGTGAGGACTCGCACTGCTGCATTCTGGACCAGTTGAAGTTTCTGGGTCAGTCTCAATTCCTACATAGAATGAGTTACAGTAGTCCAATCTGGAGGTGACCATTGCATGGACTACTGTGGCTAGGTCAGGGCGAGACAGGTAGGGGGCCAGTTGCCAGACCTGGTGCAGTTGGTAAAATGCCAGTCTGGCAGCGTTTGTGACCTGGGCCTCCATTGATAAGGAAGATAAGGGACGCCGACCCCAGTGGACCGCTGGAGGAAGAGAGCCGGGGAATAGCTATCCCACCACCTGGGTGCCGGTAGGCAGCCCCACCCCCTGTAATATATATGTGGCCATAGTCTAGGGAATTAACTTGCGCTTGCAGCACATCTGTAAACCGCTCTGAGACCTCCGGGTCTGAGTGGTATATAAATCGAAATGTATAGTAAAGTAAAAAGTAAAGTATCCAGAATCACACCCAGGCTCTTGACAGTTGATGCTGGTGTCAAGGGCACACCATTGAGAGGCAGGAGAAGGCACTTCAGCCTCAGACAGCTCTGCTTCAACCATCCCACCATGGCCTCCAAGCCCTCAGCCAGGTTCTCTGGGGCAGTGTCCAACCAGCCACCCACCAACAGATATAGCTGGATGTCATAGCTGATGACACCCCAGCCCGAAACTCCACACCAGTTGGGCGAAGGGGCACATATAGATGATAAATAACGTCAGAGAGAGGATTGCCCCCTGAGGAACCCCCACATACTAATGGGTGCCTAGTTGACAACCTCTTTCCTAGTGCCACCCTCTGTCCCCAACCTTGGAGAAATAAAGTGAACCACTTCAAGGCTACCCCATGAACTCCTACGTCAGTGAGGCAGTGGGTCAAAAGGTCATGGTGGACCATGTCAAATGCTGCTGTAAGGTCAAGCAACAACAGCAGCGCCGACCTGCCTTGTTTCAGCTGCTTGCAGAGATCAACTGTGAGGGTAACCAATGTTGTCTCCATCCCATGGCCGGGGTGGAAGCTGGACTGGAATGGTTCTAGAGCTGATGTGTCATTCAGGAATTTCTGGAGCCGTTCTACTGCCACACTTTCAATTTTCTTACCCAGAAATGAAAGTTTCAGTACTGGGTGGGAATTAGAAGGATCCATAGGATCCAAAGCTGGTTTCTTCAACAGCAGTATAACCACAGCCTTTTTCAATCCCTCTGGGTAGATCCCTGAACCTGGGGACAGATTTATAATGTCTACTAGAGGCCCTGTATCCCCTCACCACCAGCCTTCACCAGCCATGAGGGACATGGGTCTAAGAGGCATGTGGTCAGCCTAACAGCACCCAGGATCCTGTCAGCACCAGCCTGAGAGACTTGGCTGAAATGGTCAAATACTGAATCCAGAGATGGCCACAGGGCCTCCAGTTCACATACTGTATCAATATTTGCTGGGAGGTCACAGCAGAGTGACAAGATTTTATCTGCAAAAAAGCTTGCAAATGCTCACCGCTAATGGCTGAATTCCTCAGTGAGAGAAGTTAGAGAATGGATTACCCTAAACAATTGCGCTGGGTGAGAGCTAGCGGGCAAGATGGAGGCTGTATAAAAAACTTTTTAACAGCCTTCACCGTCACCTCATAGGATTTCATAAACATCCTATTAGATGTTCTTGCAGCTTCGTCACAAGTACACTGCCAAACTCGCTCTATTCACCTGAGCTCCTGTTTCATCCCCCTGAATTCCACTGTATACCGGGGGGATAATTTATGTCAAGAGCAGAGAGGACGTTAGGGAGCAATTTCATTGATGGCTTCAGAGAGATGGGAGCTCCAGTCCTCTATCAGCACATCCAATGAATTTCTGGAGGGCACCAGGTACTGCAGAGCATTCTGGAACCAAATTGGGTCCATTAGTCTCCGCAGGCAAGCATAAATCTGCTTGCTGCCTAGACGGGGGGAGGGATAGGGACACATTTCAGGGCAAACTTCCGTCATTAGATCCATATCCATCCCCATGCCAAAGATCAAATCCAGCATGTGGCCTGATTGATGTGTGGGACCTGATACAAACTGAGAGAGCCCCAGAGTTGCCATGGAAGATACTAGGTCTGATGCCTGATGAGAGGTAGTAGTGTTGGTGTGGTCACTGAAGTCCCCCAAAACAATCAATCTTGGGAATTTCAAGGCCCTGCCGGCTACCACCTCCAGCAGGTTTGGTAGGCTGTCAGCTGGCCTGATTGACAGTTAGTACACCAGATAGACAGCCAAACTCTCCTCAGAGTCCCACACCAGACCCACACATTAAATGCTGGTGGTCTTTGGGTTGGGAAGTGCCCTGAAGGAAAAACTCTCTCAGATAAGTATTGCTACTGTTATGTACGTGGACCGCCACCAGGGGTCCGCGGACAGGCCAGAGCTTGGATCCTAGAACAATGGAAACTTCAGATCCTGGATCCCCCAGCCCCAACCAATAGCCACCTTGGCGGGACATTCAAACCCTCCAATGGGAGCGGGGGGGTTGCTGGTGGATATGTATATAGTTGGCCCTGTTGGCCGTTAGAGTTAGGTTTTGTCTGTGTTAAGTACAATAAACGTGTGCTACAGTATGTCGTCGTCCGAGTCTTCCATGCAGCGAACCCAGTACTTTTCAGCTACCCCTCCCCCTCCCCTCAATTCGGGACTGATGGAGGACTGAGAAACCTGGTGACTGTTATGCCAGGTCTCAATCATGCATGCCAGGTCCACATCTTGCACTGCAATATAACTTTACTATGTTGAGAGGACAGTAAGAATGAAAAAAACCCAACTTTATGAGGGTAGTCCAGATCATTATGTGAAAATTTAGCACTTACCTTGCTTTGCTGATGAAACTGGGGTATAACAGTTTCTAAGCAAATGATATACATTCTGACTATTTAGAAAAGCTTTCCATTGGTGAAAATTTGATAAAATGGAATTACACAATAGACTGAATGTTGGTATATGAGTGCTCATGTACTGGCATTCTTTCCACATAAGTTCTGTAATCCAGAGAGGAGGAGTTTCCAGAAATCCACAAAAACCTAAACAAATAATATTATGTATTTTGTTAGAAAATATTTTCTCTATATTCATTTTTGCCCAATATTAATAAGCATGTTTGATTCCGTAAGTATATGCTCCATTTAGTTTTATGAGTGACTGAAAAGTAAGAATGCAGAGAAGTATGTTAACACGTTTTAACATACTTTGACTGTAATTGTTACACTGCTATATCATCAACTGTCATTTCATTTTGTTTGAATTTTTGTCAAAAAGATGTATTACATCACCATGGTATAGATTCAAGTTAAATTTAGAGTTAAAGGTGGACAGTTCCTTTAAGGTCATCCTGGACAACTTTCCAAGTCTTCCTTGGGTAACATATACATATGCATTTCCTATAAAGGGATTTGACAAATGTTCTTGATAATTTACTCTATGTTCTAAGATTTGTAATCAAAAAGTGTTATAGCAATGGGCTTCCGGTCTGGCTTCTGTGAATGGCGGTCGCAACTCTGGGAAGCTCCCGGAGGTGATTCGCCCACGTGCGGCCAAGGGGGGGAATCCGCACAAGCGGAGACCCTAAGGAGCCTCAGGGGCGCTCAGGGGATGTGCCTCTTTCCCGGCCCGAAGGTCGGAAATTGAGGCTCGCCCCATGCCCCAATGCCCTTGCCGCGGCAGTGCCCCGCACGGGGACTAGCAGAGCTGCCAGACATCACCGAGTGATGAAGCGGAAAAGCGTTTGAACAGAAGATATTCGGCTAAAACTGTGAGTTGCCGGTCGGAAACGGGAAAAAAGGAGTGAAGCGCATTCCCCCCCCAGTGAAAAAGCGCAGGGAAGGAGGGGGAAAGCCCCCCCCCGACTAAACAGAGACTGATTTAACAGAGAGAAGAGGGGGGAAGCACGAACTTTTAAAAAGTAAACAATAAAATAAAGATGTTGGGGCAGAAAAAGTTTCAGGAGAAGCCGCCAAAGAAGCTGGGAGGAACTTCCGGTGCTGGCTCCC